AAAAAGGTTCTTTGAGACAGTGACAGTTTTCCAAAAAAATAAACCAGGGGATGGTATAGATGATGCTGGCATAGGACAGATAATGATGGGACAGGGATACGCATCGCTGGCGTGGGCACGGGTACCTCACCTGGGTGGTCAGGGACGCCTTTCTGAGGAGGGAGTGTTTGCGTTGAGACCTAGACAGTATGAGAGAAAGTCAGCTGAGGGTGGCAGGGAGAGAGTGCTCCAGGGAACTCGGCTCCAAGGCACTGAGGCCAGGCCAGTCTGGCAGAGCACTGTGTCCTGCAAGGACAGAGAGGGGGACAAGGGGTCAGCATTCAGTATGACATTCAAGGGCCGCCCTGAGTTTGGCGGGTCAGCCTTCATCCGATACCCAGGCCAGAGTTGTCTGTGCTTCAGTGCCTCCAGAGAGCGCCCCCCACCCACCGAGTCCCTGCGCAGGAGTGAAGCATGGGTGTGTGTTGTGGGAAGGAAAGAGCACCACTCAGAGGAGCGACGGGGATGGCAGAGGCTGGTGTGGTGGCCAAAAATGTACTTCTGGGGAAAAAAAGGGATGCTAGTAAGTCAAAAATATGACTGAGAGCAAGGCTTGCCCACCCGTCCAAACCATGTACAAGAGTTGGTCTGATACTTTCTACCCCCTGAAGACCCTCTGAAGATCAAGGCTGACATGGCACTAACAGCTCCCAGCATGCTCTGTAGTAAAGCAATTTTAATTTCATAAAAATTAAAAATAAGATAAATTAAATATTCATATCCTTTGGCCCAGCACCTCCACTTTTAGGAATCTATCTGTCCATGCAAAGAAGTTCAGGGATGCTCACTGGCAGTATAGTTTTGGAATAGCAAAAAGTTTGGCAATGACCAAATGGGCATGGATAGGGAACTAGTTGAGTGGATTGTGGCATAACCACACAATGGAACTCCAGGCAGCCACTCCAAGAATGAGGTGGCTATGACGGGGTGAGAAAGGCTAGGTTGACTTAGCTTAGACTGTGGCCAAATTAGCTTGCTGTAGCTCTCAGCTCCACAGCCCCGTCCCCCACTAGCCTTGGGGCCCCTTCAGCCAAGCAATCCGGACTCGGGAAGATCAGACACACTCCACTCCCCAGCATTGAGAAGAGGCCAGGGGAAAGACAAAGCATTGCACAGTGACCTCTTGGAGGCTGAGTTCCACCAATCCAAAAAGTGGACACTGGATGTCTCTTCCCATCAGGAGCAAAAGAGTGAGTGAGAGGTGGGGCATGAAGCCACAAGTGTTACTCTGGTGCCTCTCCCTCCACAGGGGAATGTGAGGAGTGTGGAGTAAGTATTCCCACCTAACAAACATCCCTGGGTCATAGGAAACTGGGAAGAGTGGTTACCTATAGGAAGAGAGTGGGGAGACTGACTGAGATTTAGAGTTGCAGGAGTAGAGGGTCATTTCTAGCCCCTCTTTAAGATTCAAGGAATCTCTTCTACTTATGAATAATTTCCTCCAAAGCTCTTGTGAAGTCATTAGATCTAGTGGTGTCATCATGGGAGAGTACTTCTCTGGCCCCCAATTTTCCTGGATGCTGAACAATTCAAACGAATCTCTAGCCACCCTTGTATGCCCCAAGGCCTTTCTCTTACAATGGACTCAAAACCTGACCCCTCGTTACAGCTTACCCTTTTCTGTGTAGGAGCTTCTGTCTACTGCCTGGGATTCCACTGAAATCAGTCTCAGGTGTTAGAGCAATGCTTCCTAGACATTAGGCATTTGAGAACCACCACCAGGATTTTTGCGAACACTGAAGACCACCTGTCCTCTTTATGTACATAATATTTTTTTAAAAATGAGTCATTCTTTTAAAATTTCAATAAATTTGTTTTAAGGAGACTTTATAGCACTACTATAAATGATATTTCTAAAGAAAGAACCTTAAAATAAACATTATACTATCAAAATAACATTGTTTAATTCTAGCTACACACTATGGACTACCCAAAGTTGTGCTTATTGTTGTTGTTTGAAAAAAAAAGTTGGCATATGTTAGAGACAGAATAGGACCAAACTGGGTCTTTTCTCTTTGGTGGACTCAGAAAATTTGGAATAGGCCTTTCTCCCTATCTGATTCAGTGTTATTTGATGCCATATCAATGCACCGTCCAAAATCATGTGTTGTAACATGAATTCCACACTTTGGGAAAGACTGAGCTAAAAACCTTTTTTTTTTCCTTTTCTAGAGTCTTAATTATATGTCCATTGACATTTGTGTCATCTGAGGTGGACAATATGTGAAGCCATTATCACCCTCAAGTTTCTGGCCCTGCCTGATGAGATTGGCATTTTGGTGGTTCAGCTGATATTAAAGTAATATCAGTGTGGTACGTGAGCCTTTCCTTTTTTTTTTTTTTTTTTTTTTTTGCAAGGGCCAAAACCACATCTCTTTGGAGGCAGCATGTAATGGCGCTAAGAATGACGCGGGCCTAAACAAAGGGGGATTTGTTCTTTTTGAAAGAATTGGAAGAATCTCTGAGCTAGTTCACTGGGTTCTTCCAAATGATGATGCATGAATCGCAGCTGCAACTGCCCAGCCTGAGCTCTGCAGCCACACAGGTCATGGCTCATTGTTAATGAATCTGGGGCCTCAAAGAGCGGCCTTGGTCAGGGAATAAGGGAGTGAGAGTGAGCGTGGTCAGAGAGGAGATTTGACACATAAAGGGTGAAGGGTTTTGTGCAATGCAACTCTCTAGGTGGGAGAGTTAATATCAGGAAAAGGCTTTTTTAATTATTCTATTTCAGAAATATCAGTGGATGCTCAAACTATTGGGGTGACATTTTGATGAGAGATCAGATCTCTACATGGTTTAAAATATCTCCCTCTACATGCTACAATAAGTATGAAACATTGTCCTAAGTGAAAGAAGTTAGACACAAAGGACAATATTGTATCATTTCATTAAGTATCCAGAATAGGCAAATCCATAGACAGAAAGAAGACGGGTGGTTCCCAGAGACTAAATGGAGAGATGAATAAGAAATGACTAATTAATGGGTACAGGATTTTCTTTTGCAGTGATGAAATGTTCTAGAACTAGATAATGGTGATAGATATACACCATTGTGAATATACTAAATGGCACTAATGATAATGTTTATATTATGTACATTTTACCTCATTAAAAAATACCCCCTTGCGCACACACAAATTGCTTTTAAATTACAAATGAGAAATATACAATGGATAAATCTGGTGGATCTTAGCCACTTAATCAAAGTTAGCATAACCACTAATGGGGAGACTGACATCTTGTGCATTCTCGTGGGATATGTGTACACTGAGAAGGACACGTTGCCTATGTAGTATTCCTGCCAAAGGAGCAGGCCCTGAGTCTAGTCATTAGGAAGCATCAAACAAATTGAGGGACATTCTGCAAAATAAGAGGTCAACACTCTTACATAATAGCAATGTCATGAAAGGCCAGGAAAGGCAGAGGAACCATTCTAGATTACAGACATAACAACAAAAAGACATAACAACCAATCATCTGGGATTTATCCTCAATCAGAAAAAGAAATAGCTAAGGCCATTATTAGGATAATTGAAGAAATTTGATTATGGTTTGTAGATTAGGTAATAGTATTGTATTATGTGAAATTTCTTTTTTTAAGAATTGATTTTATTTACTTATTTTTAGAGAGAGAGGAAAGAAGGAAGGGAGAAAGAGAGGGAGAGAAACATCAGTTGCCTCTCATATATCCTCAACTGGAGACCTGGTCTGCAACCCAGGCATGTGCCCTTACCAGGAATCGAACTGGTGACCTTTCTGTTTGTGGGACAATGCTCATCCCACTGAGCTACACAAGTCAGGGCTATGTGAAATTTCTTAATCATGAACATCTACTCTGGTTATATAAGAGAACGTTCTCGTTTTTCAGAGATACGCACCAAAATATTTAGACACAAAGAAATATGATGTAGGCAGCTTACTCTCAAATGGTTCAGAATAAGTGTGTGTGTGTGTGTGTGTGTGTGTGTGTGTGTGTGTGTGTCTGGAGGGGGAGAGACTTAAAAAATAAAACTGATCCATTTAAAACTGGGGCCAAAATATCATCATAAATAGTCAAAACAAGGTCTGACTTGGACTATGTTTTTATAAGTGAAATTAAAAATGTTATGTTCTATAAAACTTTAGTAATAGTAACTCATCACAACTGTTAGAATGAATCAAGTGTTAATCTCAGGGACTGGTAGTGTTCATTTTTCCAACGAGGTTGGTTGATGTGACATCTTGACATTTGCATGTCCTTTGGCCAAGGTGAAAGTCATGTTCGCGAAAATGTTCGAAGACTTCACCATTTTTCCCAAAGGTGACTTTCAGTCCTCTGATATTTAAGTCATTCTTTTGAATGCTTTTTCCCTCAATATCATCCGTGTTTACCTTTTTCTTCTTTTAGTGCTAACAAGTCCAGGTCAGACAAGTCCTTGTATATTAACGCCTTTAGTGCCTTCTGAGCGGTTCTCCAGTGTCACTTTCATCTACTTGGTACAACCTTAATTCTCTTGCAAGATTGCCAATTTTTGCTGTTGCTTCCTGTTGTATGTTATTTAGACTCTCCAGCCATAGTAAAAAATTTACCCTGAGATCTCAGTTGTTTAACATCCAAAGGCTTATTTCTCAATCACAGGATCTGTCCAAAGTGTGAGGCCTCAATGTGTTGAGGCTGCCGCCTCCCACTGCTTCATCAGGCGGAGGGAGCATGAAGAGCTCACACCCACTTCTCAACCAGAAGTGCTTCAGACCAGAAATGACACCTGCCAGTGTTTCTTACAGGCCATTGGCCAGAATTAGTCACAAGAACCAACCTAACTGTAAGGGAGTCCGGGAAATGCAATCTTCCCATGCCCTGAGGAGGAAAATTAAATGGCAGCTGTCTGCCACATGGTGCATATGTATTTTTTGTGGTCAGATGTTGTTTAAATGAGAATGCATATTAAGAGGAGGGGTGTTTGCGTGGGGATTGATGATACAAAAAGTCAGATCACTAGGAATTATTTTTGTACCATGATCACTTCTGCTTTGTTACTCAGCAGGGACTGTGATAATGAATACTCACCTCAGAGGGTGAGCTTCCTCTGGTGCTGTGAAGTTCCCAGAGCATTGCCTGGTGAGTGGGAGATCCGGACAGCATTGTAACCCACACACGGCTCCTCCTTCTTGCCCCAGTGCCCCTGGCAGGCCAAAGAGGGGCGATGCTTTTCTGAATTAGGGATTCTAACTGGTCCTCACCCCAAATCCTCCACAAGGAATATTTGGTGTCCGGATGCAACAAAGAACAGCTTTGAAAAGAGCTAGACCTTGTCTGATAAAGTCTGCAAGCAAGGAAAGGCCAGAAGAGCTGTTTATTTTCTAAAACCCCACTAAAAGTTGCTTATTTTTTAATTTTGATTTTGCTGTTGACAAATTGAATTTCTCACACCCTCTTTAGCACATCTTTCTCTCCCTCGCCGTACTGTGCCCCGTGAAAATGTTGGTGCTTCTGGCTTTCATCATCATCTTCCACATCACCTCCGCGGCCTTGCTTTTCATCGCCACCATCGACAATGTAAGTTCCCTTTTCTTCTGACCATCCCAGAACCCCTGGACCCTGCAGTCAGTAGCAGGATTAAGCACTCCCCCAAGGTGATTACAATTTGGGGTTGTCCTGCCCACAAAGGCATGCCTATCTCCTTAGCCTGGGCCTGAGGGCTCTGGCCTAAGTGTTGGGGTTGGGAGCATCCATATATTGGTGGGCAGAGACATTGGTCCTCTCATCCCTGATTCCTCCAGAGAGCCTGGCATGACGCCTTGGTTGTAGGAAGCTCTTTGAGGACTCGGTTTAAATTCAGCCTTCAGCCCTCCTGACTGAGGTCAATGACTCGGCATTAGCGCTGTTGCCATTTTGGGCTGGATCATTCTTGTTGGGGGGGCCATCCTGTCCACCGTAGGAAGTTTAGCCACATTGTTGGTCTCTACCCGCCAGATGCCAGCAGCACTGCCACCCCTACTTGTGACAACCAGAAATGTCTTCAGACATTGCCAGATGTCCCATGGGGGCCTGAGTCATCCTTGGTTGAGGACCACTGCCCCAGACACTCCCCACCAGATAACCCATCCCAGGGGATCTCCACTCCTCCTGCTTCTGACAGCTCCTTACTAACAGGATCCCTTGTTGCTGGCCCACCTGGCCATGCCTCCCAGCAGAGCCCATGCTTGGGACTTCCCTGCCTCTGCCCATGCTCCCGTGAGAAAGTTAACTCTTTTCCTTTAGTGTCCATCTGTCAGTCACATGGCAGGAATGCACTTGGTAAGTAACCTATTGACATAGATTAATAGCTCTCCCAGCGGGAAATAAGCTTTTTACAAAAGGTCCTCTATGGCTCACACCTCGATCCAAATGCCTGGCTTCAGTCCTAATAATTTCAGGCTGTAGCGACATTTGGAGTCAGAAACACTGCTCAAGAAGCTAAAAAATGCACCTAACAAGTGGCCATCAGCTCTGCCCACATACAGTTAGTTAATCGTCATAATAGTAATAACATAGACCCTCACACCACCTGTCACTTAGAGAGTGCTTACTCTGGCCTGAGTTAGGCCCCGTTTATGTGCATCATCTCAGTTGATCCCCACCTTAATTTTCTGAGATAGGTTCTCTCCTAGCACTGTTTCTGATAAGGGAACTAGGCCTCAGGGCTGTTAGAGTACCTGCCGGAGTTTACACTGCAGTAAGTGGCAGAGCCAGGATTTGATTCATTCCAGATCTCTTGGCTTTATATCCTGTAAGGGCAGATAAGCACAGTGATCAGGTTTGGGTTCCTGCAGGTTACTGAAGAACTGCCATGAGTGGGTAGGGCAGGGATCACATTGACGCCATGGGTTAAAGTATTTGCACTTTGCCATTATCCAAAGGTCCACACATAATGAAATAAATGGCATTTAATGTTCTTTTAGAATTTCCTTTTTCTATTTCTTGCATCTGGTCCTTTGAGCCTCTGAAATGGTCACAGACATAGTGGACAGGATAGACAGACATTGGGGGAAGAAAGGCCCTAAGCCACAGCACTGCTTAATCCTGTGGAGCACTCCTGTGTATTTATATCACAGTGGCTCACTGAGAAGACACAGATGGGCATTCTTGCCAACCAGTGAGTCACAGGGAATTCATGAGTTAGGAATTGTGCTTGGCGCTGTAGTGGGGCACATAGTGGGAGCTCAGTGAACCTCTGTTGACTGGATGAATGGGTGGGGGAGATTCCAGGCTTTGCGGGGACGGAAAGCAGGACAGCCTTCTGGGGTGGGTGGAGACAGCAGAAGCATAGAGAGAAGTGAAAGCATTTGGACTGAAGGCAGGAGAGTCTCGTCTGACCACTTCATCTGTGACAGGCTTCTCCCCTCCCCAGTTTCATCCTTGTCTCACCCTTGTAGCTCTTGTGCAATTTACCGCTGTGTATTTATCACCACCAAATGAGCCTCATCTCTCCTCTGCCATGTGGAGAGACCAGCAGTGTGAACATCACCTGGGTGCTTGTTGGAAATGCAGAATCTCCGGCCCCATCACAAACCTCTCAAATCAGAATCTGCATTTTCACCAGATCCCCAGGTGGCTCACATGCACACTGCAGACTGCGAAGCACTGGTCCCAGACATTCATTTACCACCGTGCCTCACACCTATTAGGAGTATTTTCATAATTAACAATCAGCCTTTCTCTCTGTTTCCATTTTGTGTTACAGGCCTGGTGGGTAGGAGAAGGATTTTTTGCAGATGTCTGGAAAGTCTGCTTGAACAACTCGAATTGTACAGAGATCGGTGACAGCTATTCAAGTGAGTGTGAGGTTGATTGAGAGTGTGAAGGCTTGATGAAAAAGATAATGCTCAGGAGAAAGGCTTCCCTGTTCTGTGGCTCCCCATCCTCTCCTTCACCCAGCATTCTGGGAGGGACCTGGCTGCGGGCTCAGCAGGCTGCGGTAGGGACAGCCTCAGCTGGAGACAGGGGGCTATGGAGAAGCGAGAGGCTGCAGGGGACATGAACCCCCTCTATGCTGTGCTCACCCTTCTCTGTTTCTCGGCCGGCCGAGTGGAGCTTCCCTTTCTCATACTTTCCCAGCGTCAACTCTCATTTAGAATCTTCTCCCTCTTCTCATTTATGCAAGCCTCCCCTGCATGTAGCATTAGAGACTGTATTTGACGTTTGCGTCACTTCCCTGCACCTCACAGGCCTTGAGAGCTGGCTCCTTTGTGAGCTGTGGGATCTTACCTTGGGACAGGTCATCTGAGCACTCAGAATATCAACATCCTCAGCTGCAAGTGGAGGTGCCTGCCTCTGTACCTAGGCCGAAGGATGCAAAAGGGCTTTGCAAATGCAAAAAATTCCATTTGAAAACATGCCGACCACTCTCCTTCACTCTGGAGCAGGTGGCTCAATTTTCTGTTGCAGATCTGATGGAAGATGCACTTTGGGTCCTGGTGCCTGATACAATACTGGATGTCCAGTTAAATTTGATATCTCAGATAAATCCTAAGTAATTAAGTTTATGTCCCAACTATAATGTGGGACATACTTATACTAAAAAAAAAATAATAATAATTTGTTGTCTAGCTGATATTCAGATTTAATGTGCATCCTGTTTTTTGTGTTGGTTTTTGTTTGTTTGCCAAATTGCAATCCTGTTTAGAGAGCAAGGGACCCTGCTCACTGGCTCCTAAAGTCTCACCATTCTGTCAATGACAATATTGACATTCCTAATGCAAGCAGTAAAAATGCCAATAGAAGGCATCATTTGCTGAAGGTTTACTGCAAGGCATGGGGCTACGTCCCTCACATAAGTGATCTCATAGCCCTATCTAGCAGGGACCATTGGCCCATTAGATGGGGAAATGGAGGCGGAGAGTGGCCACCCATGGTTACCCATCCAGGAATGAGTGATGGAGCCAGGATTTCAATCTAGATGTGATCGATTCTGAAGCCTGCAATTTAAAGCACATCAGGTGGTCCCTGCCACACTCTTCCCCCTTCAGTCTGTTTGTCTGCCATGCTAACCTTTGACCCTGGGAACGACCATTCTTCCCTGTGCTGTGCGCGCCCCAGCTGTCACCCGCGTGCGTGGTCAGCTGCGGGGGCTGGCTGTGCTCCGCGACAGTGTTTCCACACCTCTGTTATTTGTGCTTCATATCCTCTACGTGGAATTATTTAATTCCCTGTTATTTTTCTTTAAGATAAAAGGGGTTGGCAAGCTATTAGCCAAATTCAGTCCAATGAGATAAATGTGGCTTTTACATTTTTAAAGAGTTGTTTAAACAAAACACAAAACCCCCAAAAAGCAAAACAAGAAAATGCAACAAGGGACTACATGGCCACAAAGTCTAGAGTAGTTACTGGTGTGGCCTTTACAGAAAAAACAGACAGACTCCTACCTTAAAATAGGTCACTTTTTCCTTATATTCATCTACCTTAAAAGGAACTCTATACCCCTACATAAATCAGAATCTGGTATGACTTGCCGTAAAGGAAGGAAAATTTATTAAAAATGTTACATTGGCTCTGGCTGGTGTGGCTCAGTGAGTTGAACACCAGCCTGCAACCCGAAAGTTCACTATTTTGATTGCTTGTCAGGGCACATGGGTTGTGGGCCAGGTCCCCAGTTGGGGGTGTGCAAGAGGCAATGGATCCATGTTTCTCTCCCTCTCTTTCTCTCTCCCCCTCTCTCTAAAAGAAAGAAAGAAAATCTTTTAAAAAATGCTACATTGAAAACCAAATGTTATTAAATCCTCACCTGATGCACCTGCCTCTTGAAGGCCCTAAGACTATTTCTGGTTCTTTCCTTGTTAAAAACAAAACAGCCACCAAACCCAGATATTATCAGGTGTTATTAAAGTGCCAATTGCAGAACTTTCTTGAGGTCCTTAGGCATTTAAACAAGAGCAAAGTGAACATCCCTCTCATGAGGTGAGTTTTGTCAGTTGGTGTGCTGATTGTACTCCACCTATACTAAACTTGTTGGCCACAAGCAGAATATTCTGCACCCACCCCCCCCAATTTTGAAAAACCCTATTTTAAGATCATTTTTCCTTTTTTCCTAAAGCCATTGTCTTAATATGTCCAGACTATTGTAACAGAACACCACAGACTGGGTGTCTTAAACAACAGACATTTATTTGTATCTCACAAGGTGCGCACAGACCTGGGGTCTGGTAGGAACAGATATTCTTCCTGGTTTGCAGACAGCCTGGTTCTCGCATCCTCATGTGACAGAGAACAGAAAGAGGAAGCAAGCTTTGTGTCTGTTCTTACAAGGGCGCTAATCCCATTCCTGAGGGCTCCACCCTCATGACCTAATCAGTTCCTAAAGGCCCCACCATCACACTGGGGGTGAGGATGTCAACATATGATTTTTGGGGGTGACACAGACATTCAGTCCACAGCAGCCATATCTTCCGTACTTGCCCCGTCACCTGGGGGCCTTGCTCAAAATACAGACTTCTGGTGCCCACCCCAGCACTTGCTGCATCAGAATCTCAGGGAGACAGGCTCAGGAATCTGTAGTTTTAATAAGCCCCCAGGCAGACCCTGGAATTGGGCAAATTTAGGAAGCACTGCTCAAAGCCAGAGGGTCACTATCTTGGCCCTACATTAAACTTGACACCCCCCTGCGTGCCTGATCCCAACACCACCAGAGATTCTGATTTATTTCATTTTGGTGTAGTCTGCCGGATGTTTTTATAGCGGAGCTATAATTTACAAGCAAGAAAATACAGACTTCTTAAGGTCTCAGTTCAGAGAGTTTTGACAATTATGTATACACCCATGTAACCACCATCCAAGGCAAGATAGAGAACATTCCATCACCCCAGAAAGTTCCCTCGGGCCCCTTTCAGCTCAGTTCCCACCACCCCTGCCCCAAGGGCAACCACTCTGACTTCTGCCACTATAGTTCCCTTTTGCTGGTTCTTGGACTTCATACGATTTGATCGTGTGGTATGAGGGGGGCGGGGTTCTGGCTTTGTTCCTGACTAAGCAATGAGGGGAGAGGCCCCATACTTTCCGGTGATCCTAATGTGCAGCCAGAATGCACTAAGAGCCATTGCTCTAAACATGTCATTAAGTCCTGGAAATTATGCCTCCCTCTAGTCACTTTTTAGACAAGATTGCAAAAAGAAAAAAAAAATGGGAAGGTTTTCTTTAGATTTTCCTCTGCAGCTTTAGGCACTGTCCCTTCGCCCATCTTACCAGTCTCCTGGTGATAACATCCAGCCCTTATAAAACACTTCCTTTTGGGGGCACCCCCTAACATCCTTCCATGGATGAGTTCACCCACTCTCCCGGCCTGCTGAGGCAGAAGCTATTACTAGCCCCATTTCACAGGTGAGTAAACTCGCCCCAGAGGTGAGGCCCATGCAGATAGCCCCAGCCCCTGTACTCGACCCCTGCATACACCTGTGGTGCGGGTCCCCAGCTGTGTCCTTCCCTGTGCACCCTCCCCCAAGGCTGGCTCCTTTCCCTGATCATACTCCCCTGTACCAAACCCCACCCTCTCATGCCCCACTCTCTAAAGCCAACTGAAAGAAACGTTACTTTCTTTTTCTTAAGTAGTGAGTGGAAGGTTCACTGTCTTAACTATATGTTCAGAAAGTCACTCGGTCCTGTGAGCCCCGAGCCCCTGGGAACCCCTCCAGAGGTCTCTCTAAAGTGCAGACATCCAGTCTTGACCTGTCCCATCCTGACCCCTTGAACCAGAATCTGCCAGATTGGAACCTGAGGATTTGTACTTAAAAAAAAAAAATCTTCCATCCAAGAGCCAAGCATTTGGGAGCAATGACCCAGACCAGGAAGAATTGCAGAGCAGGTGGCTTTTGCTCCGTTTTCTAATAAGGACACAGGATCGTTGGGTCAAGTGCATGAATGGACACTAGAGGGAGCGGGGTCAGGAAGGCTCCTTGGCTGCCCTGTGCTTATACTGTGCAGACCACAGCCTGGTACCCTGCACTTTTGTCTCATCGGTCCCACTTGAGCTGTCACTGTCACTGCACCCCGGGGGCCCAGGTGGCCTGTGGTCCTCAGTCCTGCACTCTTGTCCTTCCCCACAGATTACTCCACGATGCAGGCGGTCCAGGCCACCATGATCCTGTCCACCATTCTCTGCTGCATTGCCTTTCTGATCTTCTTGCTCCAGCTCTTCCGCCTCAAGCAGGGAGAGAGATTTGTTTTAACCTCCATCATCCAGCTCTTGTCATGTAAGTATAACGACAGGCTTCCTGGAATAAGCACTCCCTACCCAGCCCCTGATGAGTAGAACCCAGGAGAAATGTGGCAGGTCAGGACTTGGAAAGGAGAAGTTGGCTGCTGCGCCATGGTACCACCATGGGACATTGTAGATTTTGGAGTTTGGATTTAGTTAGGAGGTCAGAGAAGGCTTCCTTCCTGAGCCGGAATCTGTAGGGTGAATAGGAGTTGCTGTAGAATGTCCTCTGTTGGTACAGAGGGGAAGGAACAGTGTATCAGGCAGAGGGAACAGCGTGGCCAAAGCCTTGGAATAGGAGAGACTGAGAGCTGGCCGTGGGCTGGAGTGTAGAGATATGGAAAAGGGGGCGGGGGGTTGGTGGAAGTTGCTCTGGAGAGGCAGCTGGGGCTGGACTTCACGGGATGTTGTAATCCTTCTAGGATTTGGGGTCTTTGTCCCAAGCTGGTGGGAAGCCATCAACAGGTTTTGTTTGTTTGTTTGCTTGTTTTTTAAGGCCAGCTGGTGTTAGAAGTGCCCACTTTGGGCCAGGCCTTTGGGGGCTACTGGAGATACAGAGATGAATAAGGCATAGTCTCAGTCCTGGAGGGACTTACAGGAAAAAGGTTTCTACTTAATGAATTTTAGTGAGGCTGAAATCAGATGAAGAAGCCTTGTGCCATAACATCCTCATTTGCTTTTTCTCTCAGTAACGAGGTAAAGCTTTCTGATGACAAAAACTGGAAGCCACTTCCCTTGTCCTTTCCAGTCTATAGTCAATGGGTGGCTTGATGAGGATGAGAAGTCCGGGCTTTGGAGCTGACCTCTTGCTTGGTTCCACCCACCACCTCCTCCTAAGCCGTCTGCCTCCCAGACTTCTTTCTCTGCAGCCCAGGGTCAAGTCCAGACCTTGGTACATTACCAGCCCACGAGGGTGATCTGTGTGCCTGTGTCTAGCTGTTTTAAAACTGAGTCCTGCATCCCAGGAAACCCCTCAGTCCTGGGCAGAGTGGGATGGTTGGTCATACACAGCATCCTCTCGGAACACACTGACTGACCAGCCAGGGCGCAGGCAGAGGATTAAAACATTTGTGTATAAAACACCCTGGAAGGTCACTTGGTCCCCGAGCCCCAAGTGCACAAGGATCCCTCTGGGCACCTGTCTAAAATGCAGACCCCAAAGCCCTATCTTGACCTCTTAGGTAGGTAGGCTCTGCTAGGTTAGAACCTGGGGATTTGTATTCTCACCCCTGAGCCCAGCACTTGGGAGCAGTGACCCAGATCCAGTGAGGCTGAGGGAAGCAATGAGACTTGCCCAAGGGCACCAGCGAGGGGGCATCTATTCTGCCTCTTCCTTTACTTTCTTTGTATCTCCCAGTAAGAGGCATGGATACCCACTACTTACCCCATTAAAGGCAAGTGAATCTCATCACTTAACAGACAGAGTGTGAGTTGGGGGATTACTCATTGAAGTTTATTTTCTGTCATGTCTCCATTTGTCTATTTGTCTCTAAGGCCATTCAGTCAAAACTTGTTACCTTAATATATGCATACACAGGAAAACTCCCCTGATTTTGATACAAGAGGCACACCCCCCTTTCCCATCTACAACAATCATTTGACCATTTTCTGGTCCAAGGACCTGCCCCTCTTCTGCCTAATCCTGCAGTGTTTAGATACCATGTCAATCAGTGATGTTCAGGTGTGAGCAGCAGATGCTCTAACCTCCAAAAGAGACGTGGTGCTGGAGCAGCTCACAAGAAGCAAAGGAAAAGCTGAAAACCAGGTCTTGAATAGAGAGGATCCAGGCAGCCAGAACTTATGGGCAGTCACTTAAGAGAGATGCTGGCAGAATCAGTGTAAATCAGAAGGCAGCGTGACTTTGCTCTAGATTCAAATCTCCAGGGACAACAGTCTGATCAGCAGAGATTGTCATATACTCAACCCACAGCCAGACAATCCTGATGGACAGTCCTACTTCTGGCCAGGAGAGGCAATAGGCCCCCTCAGGAAAATCAGGGTACTTAACCTCATGCTAGCATTAATGTCCATAGATTAATTAAGATGCTTTTGACTGCAAGGAAGAGAAAAATCCAGGTAACAATGACTTCAGCCACAAAAACTTTTACTTTTTTATATATAACAAAGAGCCTGGAGGTGGAAGGTGCCAGAGTTGGTTTGGCAGCTCAGGAGCAGTATCACGAACCCCCACTCTCTTTAGCCTTTTATGTTATCGTCTTCAGAGTGTCAGTGAAAACCCTCTCATGGCCCCCAAAAGGCTGCCGGGGCTCCAGACATTCCATCCTGACCTAACTGTATCTGAAGTAGTATGCAAGGAAAAGTACAGAGCTGAGTAGTTGGGGACAGAAATTGTACAGGGCCTGCAAAGCCTAAACTATGTGCTGTCAGGCTGACCCCTGGCTTAGCTCAATTATTACTTATCCTCTGGGCTGGGCACAAGGCTGCCCAAATAAAAACTGGGTTCAGCTAGCAAGAATGGGAAGCAAAATGGTAACAGGGGAGGTGGGGATATTCTGCTGCAAATATTAGTTATTATCTTTCCAACAGACTAAAATAAATACCTATAATAATAAAAGCTTAAATTGATCTTCACCTGTGGCCACAGTCCTCTAAGGTATCTGGGACTCATGACGATCCATGATTTATTGATATCTTCACTTTCTCCTGACAGGCCTGTGTGTCATGATTGCAGCTTCCATTTACACAGCCCAACGCCAAGAACTGCACGAGGAAAACATGCATATCTATTTCCATACCTTGGAGGGCAGATACGGCTACTCCTTCATTCTGGCGTGGGTGGCCTTCGCGTTCACCTTCATCAGCGGCCTCATGTACCTGATACTGAGGAAGCGCAAATAGACACTAGGAGCTCAGTCGACTCCACCGCAGTCCAAAATCCACATTCAGATAACCATTTTGTATATAATCATTTTTTGTGGTTTTTCTAGCGTTTGTTTCCTTTAAAAGCCAAAAAAGAGAAGAGTTTTTGCATTCTTGAGATCAGTGGATAGACTATGAAGGCTGGAATTCAGAACTCTCGCTCATCCTAAGGTCTCAACAACACAGAGCCAAAAATCCAGCAATGCTTAAATCCAAAAATGTTCAGCGGGATGCTTCTTAACCACAGAGATGTGATGGGATAACAAGAGACTGAGAAAGCCAGGTCTGGGCCACGTCTTCCCCTAGGTTTGGGCCACGCCGAGCCCCCCTCACCTCAGCTTCCCTTCCCAAATCTCTCGGTGTTAATGGGTGGAAGATGGGGCGAGGTGGGGGTGCAGGTGAGGGGTGAAACCTCCTCAGGTATTTAGCCAAGTTCCATGTCAATAACAGGTAGGGACCCTGGTGTTCTGTCTATATCCAGACCATAGCCCCTAATTGCCTAAAATGGGCTGCGTCCAGAAAATGCCACCCAAATTTGCAGACAACATCACCTGCTTGCCTTAGGGAAGTGGCAGGGGTGGGGGCGGGTATTCAGATGTGGGCTCACCCTGAGGCAAAGACTCAACCTGAGATCACTAGCACATGCTGTAAAATGCAGGCTATCAAGTTCCCCCCATTCCTGCCCCAGACCTACAAAATCATAGTCTTCAGGGATGGAGCCTGGGAGCCTGCATTTCTAACAAGCTCCTCTGTGATGCTTATATGCTTTAAAGTTGAGCCCCCGGGCCAGGGGAGCAGAGCTGCCTCGCCAATGTTAAAGATCTCATCACGTCAAGGTGGAGAGGTGGGTCTAGACCCCACTGCAGACTAAAGCCCTGGTTTCCATCAGCTCTTGATTCTTCACTGTCTCTTCCACAGCTGCTCTCAGCTGGCTCACCCAAACTCCAGTCCCAGGCCACATGTCCTGATAGCCAGCCACCCTGGGAGGTGCAGCCTTCTTATAACCCCAAGTCGGAAGGCCTCTCCCTTCTCTTCCTGTCCTGCCTTTTAAGCTGGCTGGCCTTTACTAATCCCCTTTCTAGAGCCTCAGAGGACCCATCCATCATTCATTCATTCATTCATTCATTCATTCATCAGCATAAGACATGGATGGAATGCTTGCATGTGCCAGGCATGGAGATACCTTGTTGAGATAACCTCCTTATCAGGCTCATTGTTTAATGGAGGAGAGATTAAAAACCAATTAGAAAAACTAATTAAAAACTGATGAAGGCTGCAAAAACACAACCAAGGATTGAAAAGCGAGGCTGGTGGGGCCTGAGGGAACATGCTGCATGCCTGACTATCTTTAAATTCTGCTGGAGGCATGGAGATCAGCCTAAATATCACTCACTCAGCCCGCACAGATGGCATTTATTGGGCAGCATCGTCTATTCTGCCAAGAGAACATTTACTTCCAAGGAGCATCCCAGGGTCCCCACAGCCACTGAAGCAGTGAGAAGGACCCCGAATGCCGTGGTTCTCACTTTAATGGGCACAAGCTCACTGCGCAGACTCTGCCTTGCCAGGGTCTGGGTGAGCGAACAATCCAGGCAATTGAGAGTTTACTGAAAAATACAGCTTTGGGGAGTTTGTCTTTAAGTGTGAAGGCACCATGGGATGTGTGGCAATGTGGGTGACCCTGGGAAGCGCCCCATCAAAGAAGCTCTTTGCGCCTCACTGCCTTTTTCGTCTGGTGTTTTGAGCATGCTGCTGGGGAGGTAGGCCTGGGCCGGTGTGTGGCCGCATCTCAGTGGCTGCGCTGCTTAAATGCTTCTGCACTCGACCTGCTGACTGGCACGATGTCAGCCCAGTTCCAGTGGAGCTGGGGAGCCGTCTGTTTTGAATAGTTTTAGGGCCGCCGTGGACTCCAGTGCAGGGTTGGGTGTTTCTGTCCAACAACTCATTCATTCATTTATCGTTGGTTCATTTTCCACAGAGGGACTCCATGCTTACTGTGTTCCAGGCACTGTGAGAGGCTCTGAAAACACAGGGGTGAGCAAACCCAGGCATCCTCCCAGAGACAGGACACCCTCTCCACAGAGAGGCCACCAGCACAGTGCAGGGCGACATCAGGCCAGTGACAGGACAGATTGCCACCTCCTGGAAAACTCATTAGCCACATGGTGGTTGGGAGCGTGTCACACCCTCGGGGTTTGCAGGATGCCCCATGAGCCTCTGGGGGAAGGTGAGTCTAAAGTGCCCCAAGCTTTCTACCCAGGTGGCTTTTCTATAGTTTCCTGGTGGCCATAATGGAAAACAAACAAACAAACAACCCTCAGAACCAGAAATCTGGGAAGCCTAATCCCCAAGCAACGCATGAATTTCCTTCTCCAAAGCTTCAGGGGTGCCTGAGAATCTGAAACGACCCCATGGATTTTCCTAGCTGGTTGCCACTGTGTAGCGTTCAGCTTCCACAGCCGTCATGGTGCCGAGGTTTTGTGAGATGTGAGAGTTGCCTCCCTGTGTTGGGGCGGTGGGAAAGAGGTGAGGGTGTGAGGGGGAAAATACCCCAATTTCTTACCTGTAGGCAGAATCAGCCCTCACTTGGTGCTTACTATCAGTTATTCAAGAACAACAACAAATAAAATTAACCGAGACATCCAAGAAGCAAACATTAGGACCAAATATATTACTGGCAACAACTGTATTGGAAGGGACTGTAGTTTGCACATGTTAGGACATTTTTTTTTTACAGTACTGTAATTCTTTCATTGAGGGGCTATGGATGGAGACAGACTAACTCATTTTGTTATTTGCATTAAAATTACTTTGGGTCTCTGTTCAAGTGAGTTTGGAAAATTGATTTGTTGCTTTGAGTGAATGTGTATATTTATACCTGAACACAGGAAAATTGGAGGCTTCCCCCCCAATTCCTCCATACTCTGCTACAGGTCATTTGCCTGTGCACATCCCTAATCAACAGGCTGAGGTCCTGGGATGCTCTGTATTAACTAACGATGAGGACACCTGAACCCCCACACCCGTATGTAAACACACTAACCACAGTAGGTTAGATAGAAGCTGTAGCATCATTTAAATCTGCCTGGGTGGGGAATTACTAAACTTGCTAATAATTGAAAGGCTACTTACGATACAATGCATTGGACAGTTTTGTATATTGGGGGAGCGGTGGTGATAGGGAAATGCAGGGAAAGGCCTAGAGGTTAAGTGTGAATCTTGGTTTGTGGACAAATGTGATTTTTAGGGTAGTTAGATACTTTCTCCTTAATGTGCCTTTAAAAATAGTACATTTTCTATGTTTTGTATAATCTGAAACTGTACATGAAAAATAAAGTTTAAGACCAAATCACCCAGAGAAACAGACTCTAATGTTCCCAACTGTGCCAACGTCTAAGTTAAAATGCTGCCATTTTGAGTGGCAGAGGGGTCATTTGGTTTCTAATCGAGGAGATAATGCGGTTTTTACAGCAAGCAGTTGCTGTCTGACAGTTTATCATGGAACAGTCTCCACTGCCTTTACCCGCTCACGGGGTGGCCTCCTAGATGAACCACCAGCAGCTGTGGAGGCCTGTGCTTCGAAAGGGTCCCACACTTGGCTAACAATCTGCTATCACTGTTCGAAAATTCATAATGATATTTCAGCAAGTCAGCCTCACATTCTCATTTTGCAATGGTCTCCGCAAATTGTGTAGCCAGTCCTGTTCTTTTTTTAAATTACAGTTTACATGCAATATTATTTTGCATTAGTTCCAGGTGTACAGCCTTGTGATGAGACAGTCATACTTTACAAAGTGTTCCCCTTGATATTTCCTAGCCAGTTCTGTTCTTCAGTTTGTATATAATAAAGACTCCTGCTTTAAAGGGTTGCATGATAATGAAAATAAGACCATCTGTATAACACACTGCACTGAAAACAAGGAAAATTCCGCCAGAGAAATAGAGTTTGAGAGATCTTTAATTTTTATCCAAGGAATGCCAAAAGTAGCAAAAGCTAGCTGTCTAGGGAAGCAGCATGTCCTTATCTCCAAACAGGGGTTGCAGACTCAAGCTTCCAGGGGCCACTGTCCACATTCTTTGTTCTGGGTTCTTGTTTTTTGTCCACGTGGCAGATGGATGGTGGCGCTTCAGACCCCACGGTTTTATATTTCTTCCATTCGGGAAATGATCTTTTTCATTCACCAAGTATTTATGACCTAGCATGATTTATCCTGGAGTATGAAATTCTGTGTCTGGTTTAGAACTTGCCTTGCCCATCCCTGCAAATCTCCAAATCCTTGGGTTCGCCATCCACTTAAATTGTAGGCTTCAGGCAGAAAGAACCTCAGTAAAGCCACCTTTTCTTCCATTTTGCCATTAGAGGGACTATGTTTGCTCCAAGATTGACCTTCTCTTGTAGGAGTTTACTGAAGGCTCTAAAAAGATGGACATGGCAACATTCTGATGTGTTTCCATGACTTTTTGCTGCTGCTATAACATCCACAGGTACATGCTGTAAAATAGGTAGCCAATTTAAACCAGGGTTAAACTATGGCCCGTGGGCCAAATCAGCCCGTTGCCTGATTTTGTAAAGTTTTATTGGCACACAGCCACACCCACTGATTTACATATTCTTTCTGTCTGCTGTCAAAGACAGAGTTGAGTAGTTATAAAAGCAACTATGTGGACCGCAAAGCCTAAAATGTTTACTATTAGGCCCTTTACAGAAAAAAGTTGGCCAAACCTTGGTGTAAACCAAATGGTTGACAATAGCAATGCAAGGGCCACTGCTTCCCAGCCGAGAATACAGGTCCTTGCTGCCCTCTGCTCTGCCACCTCCCCTTGGACAATTCTACATTAGAGTGTCTGTTGCCCGTAGCACCCAAATTTAGGATTAATGTTCTTGGTTGCAAGCAACAGTAACTGCAGCTGATTTAGATAGGAAAGGAATTTATTAAAGGGACATCAGCCCTGGCTGGGTGGCTCAGTTGGTTGGAGCATCATACCATACACCAAAAGGCTGTGGGTTCGATTTCTGGTTGGGACATGTACCTGGGTTGCAGCCTGGATCCCTGGTTGGGGCCCGTTTGGGTGACAAGCAATCAGTGTTTCTCTCTCACATCGATATTTCTCTCTCTCTCCCTTCCCTGCTCTCTAAAAAATAAAACATACCCTTGGGTGAGGATTTTTTTTAAAAAAGAGGGAAATCAGGTAGCATACAGGCTTGGAAGCATGCACCTCACCACCACACTCCATCCTGGGATAGCTTAAAGAGGTCCGTAGAACAGTTTGGTCAGGAGACAACTGCCATGACAAGATGGTACCACACACACCAGAAACCTGATGCTACACAGCCAATACCTGTGACGGAAATCACCTGTGCTATCCCCATTTTTTTTTTTTTTTTTTTATTACAGGCCTGGGCTGGGCCATGTGACCATGCCCTTGTTGCAAAGGAGGCTGGAAAATGATTACTGGGTGTTTTTAATTTATGTGGTGGGTGGTTAAGTTCCCAACCACTGAGACTCAGAAGGAAGGGAATTCCCCAACAAAGGAAGGCGCTCAGATACTGGGCAGTTGAATAGAATGTAAATACCTGTTAATCCAACCAGAAATTAGGTCCCTAATTACCCACAGCTAAGCTACTGCTTCCCTAACTTTATTCATATCCTACCTATATTCTCTTTGATTGAGGTGTAAACAGCCTGCGCTGTTATTTACTGAACATCTTTTCTTTAAATTAACTTCTTAATATAAATATTTATATAAATGTTATATAAATTTATTCAAAAAGAGTCTGTAAAGTAAGTTGAAAATCAGCATTACGGTGGCATAGTTAAACACGGTACTTAATCCTCCCACAATCACATCAAAATTACAACTAAACTACAGAACATCCGTCATTCAGAACCACCTGAAATCTAGATGAACAGGAGTCCTGCAACTAAGGACATAAAGAAGCGACATCGAGACTGGTAGGAGGGGTGGATGTGCAAAATGGGATGGTGTCGCACCCACATGCGGCAGATAAAAATTTGGAGGAATATCTCAGATAAAGAGGTGCCCCTTGAGGAGTGAGGGGTCCCAGCTCCACACCAGGCCCCCAGCCCAGGGTTCCAGTGCTAGAAAGAGAAGCCCCCTGCTGGTTGTAAAAACCAGCAAGGATTGTGGCTGAGTGAGATGGAGGGCCACTGGTGTCCCAGGAGATCCTCTTAAAGGACCCTCAGGGACTCACTAGGACTCACTCCCTCTGAGTTCCAGCACTGGGGCGCTGGCCGTATAAGGAGGAACTGAGCTTTCTGGCATTGGGGCAAGAGCTGGAGGAGCAGCTTTCTCCAGGACAGAAGTGCTGGCAGAGCCCTTCCCCCACAGAGCTGGCAGGCAGGCACCATATCAGAGTCTCCATCAACCTGGCTCACACTGATCACCCCGCCCTGGTGATTCCCTGAGATCCCGCCTCAACCAACTTGTGGGCTCAACCCAAGCCATTTCCAGTGGTGCTTCCGTGCAAACAGCCTGCCTTGGCTCATGCTTTGGACTTTCCTAAAAATCTCTCAAACAAGCAGCATCTGGCCTCAGAGTGCCACGTACATCTTGCTAAGTGGCCCCAGGCCCAGCACTAGTAGCAGCCATCTGCAGATAGCTTTGTAGCTTATGCTGGGTGTCCCAGAAAAGGGCACAGCTGGCAACTTACCTCCCAGGAGGCCCCAAAGCCAGGGTACCCGTGGACAGCTTCAGGACACATCAAAGCACTACCCAACCTCTTCCACAAGGGACACTCTCAAGGGGCAAACTCAGCAGGGACCAGAGCTCTGCTTAAGTAAGTCCTGCTTCATGGGGGTGGCCCCATGCACAGCTGATCCTCCACGGAGGGCAGAAGGTGGTGGTCAGTGGTTGTAGCCAGTCCTTGCAGCCAATTGACCTGGGAGTATATCCCTCCCATTGAGGTGACAACAGCAATCAAGGCTCAGTTACAACAGGAGGGCGTATACAGCCCCAAGGCATGCATCTGGAGTGCCCAGCTCCGGTGGTCAGGGAGGCTGTGCCACTGAACTCTACCATGCTAGAGTTCATGCTTGTCTACCAAGCCCAGGAGACAAAGTAGCTGTACATAATACATAGAAACAAACACAGGGAGGCTGCCAAAACAAGGAGACAAAGAAATATGTTCCAAAGGAAAGAACAGAACAAAACTCCAGAAAAAGAGCTAAACAAAATGGAGACAAGCAATCTATCAGATGCAGAGTTCAAAACACTGGGTATAAGGATGCTCAATGAACTTAGGGGAAGAGTAGATGAACTTAGTGAGAACTTCAACAAAGAGACAGGAAACATAAAAATGGAACTAGAAAGCATTTAAAAAAAGTCAGAAATGAAGAATACACTAAGTGAAAATAAGAATACATTACAGGGAATCAATGGTGGGGTAGATGAAGCAGAGGATCAAATCAGAGATTTGGGAGCTAAGGAAGTAGAAAACATCCAATCAGAACAACAAAAAGAAAAAAGAATTTTAGAAAAATGAGGATAGTATAAGGACCCTCTGAGACAATTTCAAGTGCACCAACATTCACATCATGGGGGTGCCAGAAGGAAAACGGAGAGAGCAAGGAAGAGAAAATTCTTGTTAAAAAAAAATGATGGAAACTTTCCTAACCTTGTGAAGGAAATGAACATATTATCCAAATCTTGGGAGTACAGAGTCCCAAACAAGATGAACCCAAAGAGGCCCACACCAAGACATATCATAATTAAAGGGCCAAAGGTTAGAGACAAAGAGAGAATCTTAAAAGCAGCAAGAGAAAAGCAGTTAAGTTATCTACAAGGGAGCTCCCATAGGACTTTCAGTTGATTTCTCAATAGAAACTTGGCAGACCAGAAGATTAGCAAGGAATATTCAAAGTGATGAAAAGCAATGATCTACAACTAAGATTACTCTACCCTGCAAAGCTATGATTTAGAATTGAAGAACACATAAAGAGTTTCCTGGACAAGAAAAAGCTAGAGCATTTATCACTACCAAACCAGTGTTGCAAGAAATGTTAAAGGGTCTTTTTTAAGAAGACAAAAGGGAGCCCTGTCTGGTGCAGCTCAGTGGATTGAACACTGGCTTGTGAACCAAAGGGTCGCCAGTTCGATTCCCAGTCAGGGCACATGCCTGGGTTGCGGGCCAGGTCCTCAGTGGGGGGTGCGTGAGAGGCAACCGCATATTGATATTTCTCTCCCTCAAATATGAATAATAAAATGCCAATAAGGCTCTGACCAGGTTGTTCAGTTGGTTAGAGCATTGTCCTGATTCTTTCAAGGTTACAGGTTTGATCCCATCAGGGTACATAACACATCCAATGAATGCTTTAAGAAGTGGAACAAAAATTGACGTTTTTCTCTCTCTCAAATCAATCAATAAAAAAATTTTTAAATGGTAATAAAATACATATCTATCAACAATCACTTTAAATACAGGTGGATTAAATGCTCCAGTCAAAAGACATATGGAGGATAACTGGATAACAAAGAAGAACCTCGCATATGCTATCTACAAAAGATTCACTTCAGATCAAAAGACACACAGTG